CAGCAAGCAAGATCCTCAGCCTCAGTCAACAAAAATAGTACCCAAACTCCAATTGTGACATTTCTAGTTAGCTCTTTCAACATTCTAGAATTGTATTCTAGACATTTTAAAAAGTATTGCACATCAAGGTATCTGATATGTATCCTTTGTATTTTACAATTATTTTTATCTGCAAGTTCTTTTCATTGCTATGATATCTTTGCTACAATTAGGGTGTTCTACTCAGAAAACAAGTTGATATGGATGAAAAGAAGAATTATTTTACCTGTGGGCAATGTTATATTTAATAGTTCTGTCCTATTTTGGAAGCAAAACATTTCTGGCTGTCATAAACTTCTCAGTAATGCATGAGATGCTTTGCTGATCAATGTTTTCTGTCACCTAAGTCATCTCAACACATAAGAGATTACTTTCATTTTTTAAGATTAATATTTGCTATAGAAAATAAAAAGCTGTAAAAATGCAAATTATATCACTTTCTTAAAGACTTACTATTTCCACAGATGTCAAGGGATGGGAGCAATAAAACAACTTTCCATTACCTGAATACCACCACCTTTTAATTGGAAAGAGGTTTGCAGTTTAATCACTTCACTTCACAGAAAACTAAACTACAGTGATCACTGGTGTCTCGGGCTCAGCAAAGCGAGCCCATTAGAAAACTAATCAAGTTCAGGTACTCAACCAGCAAGGTTCAGCAAAATGTCAGTTTGACCATTAAGATTCTGCATATCTTAATTTTAGAATCTCACCAATTCACTAGAAGATGCAAAACTTGGAATATTTACAAAAGGTCAAAATGCAGAACAGTTTTTCATTACATTTCTCTAGAAAATTCTCTCATGCAGAAATAATCCATGAAAAAATCTTGTTCTTAACTCTGATGGCATGTTTTTAAATCCTAACTCTTAACTGCTGTGCTGTTAAGCCTGCTGAGCTGTTTTTTGCTGCAGTATTATATTCTGTTATTCATAGCAGGGCTGTGGTACTTCATTTCTACTTTTGTAAAGTTCCACATTACACAGAAAAATATCAAGTAAACAAAGGTGCATCTGTGTATCCTGTCTTTTGGCCACGGAGAACATTCCTATAAATATTCAGGTGAATTCTGGTTTCCACTTCCAAGGAATGGATTGACTTCCAAATTTAGGTATGTTTTTACTGGTATGGGAGAGATAGCTATCCAGGTATAAGAACTGAAAATTGTCAGCTTTATAAAGATCTGTCACTACCCACTTTGCATTTTTTCTGAACTAAGCCTCCCGATTTTAAAAAAAAATCAATATTCTGTTTAAAAAAAAACTAGCACTCCATTTTCTAAGTTGAATGTTTTCAAATATGTGAAGTATATGTTTGATCCTCAGACTAAATGACACTTCTTAAGGTGTTTTCACCAGGGGTGGGATTCTACCAGTTCGCACCTATTCGGTAGAACTGGTTGTTAACATTCTAAGCAGTTTGGAGAACCAGTTGTTAGAAGAAAGTGACTTATGACCATTTTTCACGCTTACAACTGTTGCAGCAACCCCACAGTCATTAGAGGCTAGGCGAGGAGATGCGTCTCTTGATGTGAGTGATATTGAGTTGGCCACGCCCAGCCAATAACATGACCACCAAGCCATGTCCACCCAGTCACATGACCACCAAGCCATGCCCACCACCTAAGCCACACCCACAGAACTGGTTGTTAAAAAATTTGAATCCCACCCCTGATTTTCACCCTTTGAAACACCTACTAAATATTCCTTGATAGTTGAAAATATTTTCGAATTCTGAGTTTAGACAACAAAGAAAAGTATTTTTTTAAGATCATGTATTTCTACATTCCTTCTGAGCAAACCTCATAGTTTTATGCAAAACATTCACTGGAAAGAGGTGGAAGTAACAACTAAGCCTAAACACTACTATTATAATCCTGTTGCTCATTCAAAATGAATGCTTAAGTCATGTTTCTACCCCTATCCATTGTTCCATCTATGCATCTTGCTTGTTCTAAATCTAAATTAAAACTGGAACAAAATGCAGATGTAACTTGTTTACTATTATCTAACCATATACACTACACATGAATACTGTTAAAGTAGTATTTTACACAAGAAAAAATATAATTGCAATAAGAAGGCTGATTAAGTGATGATAAGAACCATTTAATTAGGTTTATTAATATTAATTAAATTTAGCATATAAGCCAGACCTTTTTTTTTTTTTTGCATTATTTGCTTATTGACATGCTGCTTTATTGATATTCTGCTCTTCAAAAAGCTTCAACAATTGGCAGCATCAGGTGAAACTTTTCTAGGCTGGGAATCAAAATAGAATGGGACCTGGTTAGTACTTACAGAGAAATACTAGGACCGTAATCTAGACTTAGAAACTGAACAAATGTCTCAGAAGCATCCAATGGAAAACCACTTTTGTATTGTTGCTACCAGGTTTTGAGAAAAATTTACTACTATTGCTTCTTCCCCAAAAAGGCAGAATTTATGCTAGATGAACTCTAATGATGATACTTAATCTCATTGCTCTTATGCAGTAGAAATGTTTGTAATTAGCCATACAGGTAATCTTCAACTTACAACCACAATTGGAACTGGAATTTGGGATCCTATGTTGGTGCAGTCATACTATATGTCAAGTCACCATGTGACTGAATCTAATTTTATGACCACTTTTACAGTAATTCTTAAGTGAATAACTAGGTTGTTAAATAAATCACCTGGCTGATAAGCAAATCATGTGGTTGTTAAGCAAATCCAGCTTTCCCCATGGAAGTCCATGAACTTTGCAACAAAGTCACAAATCACAATCAAATGACCACAGTATGTCACAACTGGTCATAAATATGAGCCAGTTGTCAAGTACCCTACTTGCAATCAAGTGAAACGGTACATTATCATAAGGGCAAGTACAGATAGCAAATCACATTTTTCTGAGGCTGTTGTAACTTCAAACCATCATGAACAGTTGTAAGTCAAGGACTACTTGTGCGGATAAACTTTTAGGAGAGAAAAATGCAAACATCCATGTTAAGAATGTAACTCTAAAAAAGAACATGGAAAAAACTGAATAAATGGAAAGGAACAGAATTCTAGTCAAGATTGTGTCTCTATACAGATATAAAATACGTGGCCTAGCCATTTTTTTTGGGGGGGGGGTGGGGGTCAAACGAAAATAAGACCCAGCCTTATTTTCTGAAAAGCACGGTATGTATTTATGTACATGCATTCATATACCTATGAATATATGCATAATGTTGTATGGAAAATCTATGCTGTGATACAAAATCTGTAGACAAAAAAGATTTTTTTTCACTTTTAGGAAAAATAAGGATAGAGGATATTAACTATAGACAGTTGATTTTAAAAAGCAGGTATGATATTAAAGACTTGAAGGATCAGTTTGCAAAATTATACTACATATTCAGTGGTATTAGTTGGCATATTAGCAATAATTTATCACATACATGCACTTTCCAAAGAACCAGCAACAACAGATAGTCCTTAATTTATGACAGCAATTGGGAATGGAATTTTCATCACTAAACAATATGATCACATAAAGCATGATCGCAGTGCTTAGCGATAGCAATCCCTGCTTATTATTATTAACTAAATATCATGATTGTTGGGCGAGGCAGTTTCTGCCAGCTTCCCACAACCAAAGTCAGCAAGGAAGCTAGTAGAAAGTTGCAAGTCCTAGGCCTGCAGGCAGGTAAGTGGCTTCTGGTAAGTGGAGGAGGGTGAATGGGAGTGTTCAAGAGATATGTTGCAGGTTGGGGAGGGCACACAAGGATGTATGAGGCACAGCATGGGTTAGGTGTGTGAGGGGCACCACATGGGTCCAAGAAGGTCTGTAAGGTTACAAAGGATGCACAAGAAGCATTGTGTGGACTGGCAAGAAGCACTATGTGGGTTGGTGAGAATGTGCAAGGGCGTGCATCAGAGGCACTGCATCAGTTGATGAGGATGTTGGAGGTGTGCAAGAGCTGTGGGGAGGATTGGGGAGGGTGTGTGTGTGTGGTCAGTGCAGGTGAGTAGCAGCTGGGGGAAGGGTGTGCAGATAGGGGAGACTTATGTCAGCAACTTGTGATTTTCCCTCCCAACTTCCCCGGTGATTTTCTCAAATCTTCTAAATACTCACATTTTGGCCTGAGGCAAGAAGGGTATTGATAAATAAATAAGAACCTCAATAGAAAACAAGTGTTTAAAAATACAACCAAAATGTACAGAAGACATTTTCAATTCCCAAGCTTGAAGTTTACACAAGACTGGGATTTTTTTTTCCTTGAGATCCCTGTTTAAAATGATTACCCAAGAATGAACAAATGTTAATTACAATATGAAGGATTTTAGGATAGGAAGCTTAATTATATAATTACATGTGATGCTCAAGCACATCAGTGATTAACATATGCAAATTCCTAATACAAGCTTATCCATGAAAACAGAAATTTCACAATGTAAACAAGAACAAAAACTACCCTAAGCAATGCAAGAATAATTATTTGTCAGAAACACAATCAATAACTTAATCAGTCATGTGGCTGATGAATGAATCACCCAAAATATAAATCCTAGGTGAAACTAAATATTTGACATGACAATGCTTCCCTCTAGATAATAAAGCAGCAGAGCAAGAATTCTTACATTGCAGTATTTCATTTGCATGCATTGTAATAGCATTACTATTATATTCCATTATATTAATCTTTCCTTTGAGCTATGCATACTCTGAAGACGGGCTAATAGTTGTGACTAAAAGCCCTGTTTACAGAGGACAACAGTAAGATTAAAAGAATGTACAGCTACATGTTAAATTTTATTTATTTATTTTTATCTTTTATTAACTTATTTATTAATAAGATTTATTAATAAATATTCTTTATATTTAAATTTTAAGGCCTCATGTTTTGCTCACTGAATGACATATATCAGAAAATACTACCAGAAAGTAGTAACAGGAAAAGTAAACTATCATTCAAGATTGATGAATCATCATATGCAAGGTCTATTAATATTAAGGCTTTGGCAGCAGCAAAGAGCATCACTAGTAGACGTTCTTGTAAAGTTTGTAGCATTTTAATTGGATCCCAAGAACTTGTTAACATGAATGGATAAAAAGAATGTATGGATACAGGTAATCCCTGAGTTATGACAGTTCATTTAGTGACTGTTTAAAATTAGGACATAACCCCAAGTACTTACGAAACAATCAGAAATTACGAAAGTTGCAGCACCATGGCAATCGTTCACACTTATGAACGACCGCAGAGGCTCTGCAACATTTGCCCTGCTTATTCCCACACACACCTGGCCACTTTTAGTCACAACTATTAGCCTGTCTCCACAGGCACTAGGTCTGTGGCTATTCACCTTGTGAAGATCTAGCAAACCTTTGGTTTCTTGGTCTACTTTGTGTTTCAGTACAGCTTTCCCAGGCTCCATTCTCGTCGGCAAAGGCTTTTTGCAAAAATGACTGGAGCCTATAGGGACACAATCTCTCATCCCTGTAGGCCCCAGCAAGCCTTTGCTCAAGGCATAACCACAGCAGAAAGGCTGGAGAAGGGACAACTCTGTTGATCATCAAGATCTACATAAGGTAAGTGACTCGATCGGCAGGATTGGGGTGGTGGTGGTAAGCATGAGATATCTCAGTGGGTCAGGGAAAACACTAGGCCCCCATGGCTTTTCCCACAATGAGTGCACTTAATGACCCACACATTCAATTAGCAAATGCATGGGCGAAAGCAGGGAGTGATCCTGTTTAAGTTACATGATTCACTCCTACAAATCCTCGCATTACAAATGAAATTGGCAGGCTCCATTATGTTCGTAACTCGAGACTACCTGTACTAATTATTACTTTTTATCCCTCTGTGGCAATATTTGATGAACAAGAACCAACAGTCTTATGGCATCATCATATTTACATTATAGTTTTTTTTTAAAAAAAAAACCTTTTCTTGATTTTTTTTAAAAAATCCGAACCTTTTAAATAAGCTGAAATTCAACAGCAAATGCTTGATGGTATGCACGCTGCCTACTACTAGACATGCTAAGAATCTGCAACTGGGATGCCAAATCAAAATGGGAGTGGACAGTTTTCTTCAAAACCCAGCAGCCAGAGGAGGCGGCAGCAACAGAGATATTCTTGTGGCCAGAGTTCCCATTTATTCATGGCACTTAACAGTTTCCAAGACCATCACAGTTGATTTGGTGGGTGAAATAGTGAATTTCTCATACAACGAAGTAATGCTTTTATCTATTACAAAATCTTCTCCAGCTATCTCCTCCAAGATACCTTGTATGTTTCCTTCCCTGCAATATGCCATCATGCTAATTCATGATGTGATTTGTCTAGTATAATGTAAGTGGAATGGGATAACTTGCCATGGCCAACTCACCATGGGACAACTTGCTACAGAACAATTCAACAATTTGAAAATTATTTTAATTTTTGTCATTCATTCATACTTTATTATGTCCCTCCTTTGGCATCCTTTTTTTATTGATTCTATTAATATTTTCAATATTAGTGTAACTCTTGTCCTGCAGCAAGTTGTCCTGTGGCAAGTAAGCCATAGCGAGTTATCTCACAGCAAGGTGGCTGCATAAGTTGACCATGATGAGTTGGCTGTGGCAAGTTGGCCATGGCTAGCTGGTTGTGGCAAGTTGGCTATGGTGAGCTATTAAAGACCCTAATGTTTTAGGATAGTAAATCATTATTTGCTAGGGGTTTCCTAAATGCAGTAACAAGGTTTTCTTTTCGTATTCAACAGTAGCTTAACATGATGTGCAAAAGAAAGACCTGGTCTATTTATGGTCTCCTAGCTTAGTTGTTTGTGTTTCTGCCTTAAGTTTCTGAGAAATCCATGAAGTCAGAAACTGCTGGTAAAAAAAGAGAAAACCAATCAGAAAGGCAGACTACAAAGTAACTTGGCAGCTTGCAAGGTATTAACTATTTAGACAACATGAGTTAAAACAGCCAGATAAAGTAGCCAAGAATAAACCAGGACCACAGATCATGATTAAGGCTAAAAAAATGTAAACCACTCTATAGCTATCTGACCAAGCCCGAGTGATACCTTAAAGCTAACTACAATATTTATTTACATTTAAACAACATGCCTTATATTTTGTGCAAATGCACTTTGATGTATTTTCTGGCTTCTTCAGCAAGCTGTTGTTGAAACAAATCTTGATTTAATCTGGGATTAGCTCATCAATAAACTGCGGAGAATTACTTTTGAAAGGACACAAATGTAATTGTGTTTGTATATGAAGGAAAGAGAAAAACCTTTACTTAAACTTCAGCAATAATCACAGTTAGAAACATTAAACTCTAAAAACAACCTTTGTGTGGAATAAATTACATCTCTTACATAGAATACATAAACAAGGGTACATCAACTTTAATAGCATTTAATGGAATTGTAATAGAGTGTTGAACCATGTACTGTTTGATTTGCATGTATGAATTCTATGTGTTCAACTCTAACAATACAAGGTACTTTTAACTTTAAATCACTGTATGCTCTTGGAAATGGACTTCGTGATACTCAATGAATCAGGGAGTCAGACAAAAGCATTAACAGGTTATTTATTAAGAATTAAAATGCAGGGGGAAATGAACAGTTTATTTTAAAAGCATTAAAATGAGAATGGTTATTCACTGATTTAAAAAAAAATAAAAAGCATATATACATTAGATATCATAGTATAATCAAAATAATACATAAGGAAATAGAACATACACAGTACAATAGTCCAACGAATTTATGAGTCTAACCTAAAATAAAAAGGGGAAAGCAAAGAAATAAAGTCCACTTATCAGTATTCAAACCAAGGATTTTATCCTTGGCCATGCTTGACAATTTTAATTAGGGCTGGGAGATGCTTAGATGTATAATGTAAAGATGGAAGAAAAATGAAGAGGACAAGAAGATAGGATTACCTATTAATTTAGCAAGTATCTCAAAATTAAGACAAATAAGAAAATAAATTCAGCTTATGGATGAGCCAGAACATTTTTAGAGATGAAGATTTTGAACAGTATCATGATATAATGGTTAGAGATCACAGTAGATAGAAAGTTCAGGGCCAAAAGAAATCAGGAAGAGGGACAGTGGCAGAAAGTGAACACTCTCGGGGAAGAAAAATACTTACAGCTTAGGGACTTTCTATACCAAGTCAGGTCTGATATGTTATGGGATGCCTCAGCAGTGATATTCAGTCAGTGTTAACTTCTTTACCCTATTATGGTCCATAAATGGCAATGATTTTAGCATGCTTTCTTAACAAAAATGTGATCAAGAGGAACAGACAGTAGTAACTGAAAGCTTGACTATTTCTGATGGCAGGATTCAGCCTTCCATACCAAAAGAAAAGATGCAATGAACTTCCTTTCTACATGTCCAGGTATGCACTGATATTATCTAGTCAAGTAATGAAACATTTGCAAGCAAACAATCAAACTCAAGAAACAACGATGATTCCACAATTCAGCTCTGAGTTACATATATTTATTCTGTTCTGTTGGAACTTCCAAGTTTCCAAAAGGAGAAGAGAATGTAGGAGTCTAATCACACACATTCATCAACATGTTTCCATGCTACAGTGGCTGGTCCAAGACAGAAAAGGCTGAAAAGGGAATTTAATAAGCAGTTATAATATGTAAATCTTATCCAGAAATGTAAGGGTGGATGCTAAATAAAGTAGTCTGCAGACATACATCTTTATTACCTAATCAAGCCACAAAGACTTCAGCCATCCTGTTTTTGCAAGTTAGTATTCTTCTGCATGGTTGCTTCAGTTCTTTATCTTAAAAATTTGATCACTTGCAATTCAGAAATGTTAATAAGCAAATGTCATCCATCTTAATAAAACTGTTTGCATGCCTGCACAGTTTAGGAAGATAGAGTATAAGAAAGTAGAATGGGATAAGGGAGCTCCTTTTAAAAAAAGCTACCATTGTGTTGGTCGCTTCTGAGCCTTTTCAAATAAACTATCACTGTTTGTGAAGTACTGGAAAAACCAATGAGTGAAAGAAATGCAATGATTAGCTTAAGTATAGAAAGCTAGAGCTGTATTTAAAGATGCATTATTTTCCCCTCCAGATGCAAATTCTGAACACAGCTGCTTGCAACATCCTAGAAGTGGCAAGTTACAGGGGTCACTGTATTCTGCCAGTTAAAACTCTGGCTGGCCTCCAGCAAAATTGGATGACAGAAAGCTTGAGACTCTCAGATCATTTCATATGGCTATCAAGAAGGCCTCAGATGTGAAGCTCAAAGGAAAAGAGAACCCAGAAATGACAAAGTGTTAACAATAAACAAACCAGCTTATTTATTGGGAGCTGGAAGTACAAAATCACAATGTAAAGTGAAGACCTTACATATTTCAAGGAAGAAATGCCCATCTGGCATTGTATATACATATATACATATACTGATAGTTGATACTTTTATGGTTATCCCTTGCATGGGTAAAGACCCATGCAAGGGATAACCATATAAATCCCAGATTCATCAGTGCAAGTGTCAAGACGACGGGACACGTCCCCTTACTAAAAACATATCCCTGGTCTTTCACTGAAGAAACACAGTTCCTCTTAAATGTCAATATGTCAAGTGTACGTAATTGAGCATATCCTCTATTGGCTAACACCTCCATTTACTACTGTTGTTCTTCCATCAGACAAGGTGATTTCTGATCCCTGCCAGCCCCACCCCCCTTGGAAATTGTGTAAAATTCACCTGCCATGGAAACAGGAACTGAAATTCACCTGCCATGGAAACAGAGCTGTGGCAGGTCATTCAGACCTAGCCTTGGCTAATGGAAGCCTTGCTCCAAACCTCAAGCACAAAGCCTAATAAAGGGACTAAAATCATGCAACAGCCTCCCTGGGAAGAACTAATTTTCAGTTCTTCATTTTCAGAATTATTATTATTTTTTTAGTAAGAAATAGATTCCAAGAACCTGGTAAAAGCACTTTTTTCTTTGACAACTGAAATTAACATTCTATAAAATCTGAAAGCTGTTTTCCATGGCACAGTCAAAAGCTGATAGAAGGGGAAAAACAGAGGTCACATAAAAGAGAAACAAGAAGACGCAGACAGAGTAAATGCACATCAGTCATTCTTTTTTTTTTTTTGTAAAAAGTTTTATTACATTTTTCTACATTTCAATAACATCGTTTTTAGTGAACAGCATGATTCCATACAACCCACACATGATTCTACACATTTCCATACAAACATGACCTTGCTTACATATTCATATTTCACATTTAATTTCATATCTTATCAATACTTTACATATTTTCTATTAATTTCTCAAATACTTTCCTCAAACTTATTTTATATATTTTCAATTCAATTCTTAACCTATTCCTTTTAACTTTAAATAGTTCTCATATCTTCATATTCATTGTGCTTTATACTTTTATCTGTCAGGTTTGCAATTTCATCGCATATTCTTATTTCATCATTTCAAAAATTCCATCTCAATTTAAACATTTCAAAAAATTTTCCCCCACAATTACCAATTAGAGTGTGCCACCCCTGTACCTTATATATCATTTAATTAGTTCCTCTTTAAATCCCAATAATCATTTATTTTTTTAATTATCACCTTAAAAATTAGTAACAATCTCCTAACAACTACATAACACATATGTCTTTTAAATCAGATTCCACATGGCACTTTCCCCTTCAGTTACACCACATCATTTATAATTTCAAAAAATTAATCTATACAATTAATCATAAAAACTGATATTAATCTCATTACAGCAATCCTCATATTCTCCATTGAGCTGCTCCGAGCATCCAGAGAGTTGGAGGTGCTTAGTCTCTGCTTGGATAAGCTGGGCTTAATTGTTAGGACGCTCTTACTCCTCCCTGACTCCTCCCTAGCGTCCACCAGTTTTAGCTCAGCCTTTGGTTCGATAGGCAGCTTTCCTTGGCCGGAGGAGGAACAACTTTGAGGTTTGGATAGTTTTCAAAAACTCCATTTTGCTAGAATCCCTAAATTGCTCTCAGTGGCAAGATCTGACTGCAATTAGAGATAGGAAGCAGTCGGAACAATCGCGGATCACCATCGGGGTTCCACCTGCATCGCTCCCGCATTGTGCCCATAAGGGCTGAGGCTTTCAACCCTACCATTACATTTTGGCATCTCACTTCTTCAAAGGACGTGATTTCCCTTCCTTTACATGAACGATCCTCAGTGCCAAAAGCTAGTCCCCTTGCCAATGCATTTAGAACGTTCCATGCTGTTTTTAAAAAGCGTGTGTTTTCTTCTCATATCTTCATCCTCCCCACGGAGAAGTCAGGGGTGGGGGCATTGGAGCCCTGATTCTCCCCTTCCTGCCGCTCAATCGTGAGGTAGCCGCTGGTAAAATTGGTTGGGCGGCGAAGGTACTGCTGTGTTTGGCACCCAAAATACAGCCACGTCATTTTGAACAGGGGACTGTCCACCATTTTAGCGCACATTCTCAAGGGCCATTATCACATTGCATCATGTGGTCTCTGCTGGGTTTTCCAGCCTACTGTTGAGAGGCTTCAACCTCCTCCAAGCTCTAGCCACAGAGCCAGGGGAAAGAAAAATTCTACTCCCTTTAGCTCCGGTTTGGGAGATTAAATCATTTGTTGGCTGCCCTCACAGTTTGCATAATATATATATAAGGAGAAACACAGCAGCAACAGCCAACACCAAGGCCTGAGGCCTATGCAGATAGCTGCTGAGGGTCTATTAATTGCAAGTGAACTGCCCTATCATTGAGCGTTCTCAAATTTGTCATAGCGGATATTTTTCAGAAAATTGAGGTATTGAATCTTTCATTCAATACAACACATATTTAAAAAACTATATATATTTATATAGATATTACATAAATATATTAATTCATTGGTAATTGACAATATTATTATTATTATTATTATTATTATTATTATTATTATTAATAATAATAATAATAATAATAATAATAATAATAATAATAATAATATAAACACCTCAAATTTTAGATATTTCATATCAAAAAGAGGGGAGTAAGTATTGATAGGGTTCCCTGTCCCTGACGTAGTACAGGACCCCAGACGCGCCAACCGTGTATGTGTGTATGTGTGTGTGTGTATATGTTTTCATAGATTTTCACGGGTACAGGTATGTAGGTATAGGGGGATTCGGGTCTTTTCCCGTGTAAGATTAAGAGTATCTTGGTGACGTTTTGGTGAGGTCCCACTCGCCATCCTCAGGCTGGTGCTTTCGGCTTTGTGCCAGTGCAAGCAGTGTGTGATCGGAGCTGCCATCTCTCTATAAATACTGATGGTGGGAGCTGGTGTGCTGGGCTGGTTGGCTGCGCTGCTGCCTCTTGATTGGTTGATGGAGTTGATGTTGGTATAATGGGCTGTGTGATGGCCTTGTGAGTTTTGTTGTGGAGATATCCTGGATCTTGTGCTGTAATCTCCTGGGTCGTTTGTTTTGTAGTGATCTTTTTTCCATTAGCCTCTTGTTTTTTAACAGCTTGGGTAATGGGTTGTGTGATGGGCTTGCAAATTCTTTTGCTGTGGTATCCTGGGTCCTGCGTTGTAATCTCCTGGGTTGTTTGTGTTTTGATCTCTTTTCCATTAGCCTCCTGTGTAGTAACAGCTTGGGTAATGGGTTGTGTGATGACCGTGTGAGACTTATTGCTGTGGTATCCTTGGTCTTGTGCTGTGATATCCTGGGTCATTTGCTGTGTTGCAACTTCTTGAGTTCTTGTGGTGTAATTTCCTGAGTTTTCTGATGTGATATCCTGAGTGGGTGGCTGTGATGTAGCATTCTGGGTTTTAGTCTGGCTTCGAGTTGAAAGCATGAATAGAAGAGATGACTCCACCAGACTGTCAATTATTTGGAAGCCTGCACTCTCAAACAAAAAAAATCTCCACACCACAAGCAAGGCAAACACCTGGGCACAAACAGACTCCTCCTGATACCTCCAGCTCAAACACACCCCAACCAGGCACCCAGATGAAACCTAGCTTCCTAATAAATGATGACCATCCATTTACTCGGAGCCAAGCCGCACTAAGCGCCTCCAATACAGCAAACACAATGTTGCCAGCCAATCAAGACAAAAAAAGCTACAAACAGACAGAAGATATTAGAAACACCAATCAAGCAGAACACAGCAAACTCCAAGACCAATAAACACAGACCAAGACTCCCAACCAATCAGGATGAAGAAAAAACCATTCTGGCACAGCGTAGGGTAGCACCAAATTTAAAACAGAAACGGCTGTGAAAGTCTGACTCACAGACAAACACAATACAGAAGCCTGATGAGATTCTGCCGAAACGTTGCTACAACTTTAGAAGCACAACCTTAATGACATGGAAAAATACCGGAACAAAGCTGAATATCACACACACACATATATATAAACACATATTTATATTGATACAGTTATCTCGTAGGTCTGAGGTAACTTAAAGAATTGCAATGGCAAGTAGAGGTGGAGCTAAGGCACAGACCCAAGACAAATCTAAAAGAGATAAGGTCCTTCAAAGGTCGCAGAGAAGGATGCCACCCGATGCCAAAAGGCACTGGAAAAGCAAATTGAAAGGGTCACAAGGGAGACTGAGAGGAATTCCCAGCCCCCTACTCCAATTCCACAGCCTCAGATTCAGTGCACCCCTATACCCTTAGATTTGTCCATGCCATCTCAACCACCTGGCACCGTAACATCAGGTTTACAGGTTTCAAGTCGAGCCCCTGAGGCAACCTTCATGCCAACGATGGCCGCCTATGCCAGGAGTTCCTACCAGATGAGGTTCCAGAAACAATGAAGGCATGGATGGAGTTAGCGACCCACAGAGGCATGCAACAAACCATGATGGCCAGACAGATTCCAGCGTTGGAATGTGACTCATGGTCTGCAAGATCTCCATGCAGAACTGATCTGCATTACCCACAGGTACCACCCCAAGGGGAGTTTTCTATGATTTCCCACATGCCTTCACACGATTTACAGGAAGAGGAGGAACAAGAGGACATAATGGAGCAAGCAGAAGCTGTTTCAGTACACAATAGTGAGGTCCTATTGGAGGCAAACCCCCTGGAAAGAGGAATGTCAGATGATGAAGGCATCAAGCCTGACCAACCTACTTTTACGGGGTTGTTCCGTCCCCAACTTTTCAAATTGCTCTTTTTTAAGGCCAAAAACACAGCTTGCCTTGAAAAATCTTCTTCCGTTCAACAACCAGACTCCCAAGAGGAATCAGATGATTTGATTTTTTCACAACCCATTAATGAAGTGGATGTTATCCCAGTCCCGCAAATGTTTTCAGATCTGGTCCAGAAGCAATGGGCATTGGCAGCAGCGTACCTGGCCCCCACTAGTTTTGACAAAAAGTTTTTCAATTTGGCTTCAGATTTTTCAAATT